CTACCTATGTAGTCTCTGAGGTCTTTATGTGAAGAGAATAGGTCTTGTATATCATCATAACCCCATAGTCTAGCACATAGTAGGTACTCAGCAGATATTTGTGGAATGAATGAATAGATTAAATTATTTAATTTGTTTATATTAGGGTACAGAGTATAAGGAAAGGAACTAACTTAAGGTTGTTTTAACTAATTTTTCCACATGCCAATTTTCCTAAAACTTCTATGAAAAAACCAACACCCCATTGTTTTTTTGTTGCTTTATTACATATCAATGTTTTAAAATTTTCTGGGGAGAGAATGATATGTTTAGGAATTTGGACTTTTTTTAAAGCATGCTCTTACAAAATGAGAAGATAATAAAAACAGGTTCTTATAGAAACTGATAGGAGAAGAAATTTCTAAATGGTGTTACTGGTATAGAAGTAAAAAAAAAAAAAGTGAGAATTCAGTACTCTCCAAGACAACCAATTTGGTAAGGAAGATGTTCACAGTAACTTCAAAACAGCAGTGTGTTAGTCCATTTGGTCTACTAAAACAAAATACCACAGACTAGGAAGCTTATAAGTAAAAAAAAAATATATATATCATAGTTCTGGAGGCCAGAAGTCAAGATCAGTTTGCCAGTATGGCTGGGTGAGACCCCTGTTCCAGGTCTCAAACTTCTTCTATCTTCGTTTGGTAAAAGGGGCTGGAGTACAATGTGGGATCTCTTTTTTTTAAAAAATATATTTTACTGATTTTTTACAGAGAGGAAGGGAGAGGGATAGAGAGCTAGAAACATCGATGAGAGAGAAACATCGATCAGCTGCCTCCTGCACGTCCCCCACTGGGGATGTGCCCGCAACCAAGGCACACGCCCCTGACCAGAATCGAACCTGGGACCCTTCAGTCCGCAGGCCAACGCTCTATCCACTGAGCCAAACCGGCCAGGGTTGTGGGATCTCTTTTATAAGAGCACCAATCCCATTCATGAGGAATTCACTGTGTCCTAATCACCTCCTAAAAGTCCCATCTTCTAACACCATCACAGTGGGTGTATGGATTGCAACGTGAATTTGGGGGACGCACACATTTAGACCACAGCAAGGAGTTCATGTGAAAGAGTTAGAACACAGAAAACAGGGTGTCTAAGCAACGAATCAAGGAAGCCCACAGTCATGTTTGCACAGAATGGTAAGAGGAGATGTCATGTGCTGATCTGTCCACAAGCCCCACATACTGGAAACTGTGTCAATGAAAATGTAGATGTGCAAACACAAAGACACACAACAAGTCAGTGCAGGTCCTGTTTAAATATTTGTAGCACGAAATATCTATATTTTCTTTCACTGTAGGCAAATACTTTGTTTTGGTGCGGTATTTCTTTTGTTCATTTCCTGATTAGTTAATCAATGGTCCAACAGCAGGGGTAATTATAATAGTATAAATGCTGTAAGGAAGGATAATTTATAATATTTGACCTTTTCATAGTGCCATTTCAACTAATTAATACTCTAATTGTTTTTATTATTGCTTTTAAGTTCCTTCTAAGTTCCAGGAGATAGGAACACAAAAATGATTAAATAATAAAAACTGTCAAGGAATCAATTAAAACCTGAAATATTTGTTGGGGTAGGAATAAAGGGAACTGGGATGCTTCAAAGAGGAGATGAATTTGAGATGATCCTTGAAAAATGACTAAGACAGTTAGATAAAAATGGGGTAGAGGTAGGAAGTTTTCAAGACAGATGGAAGAACACGGTGTCCACAAGCTTTACAGTGAAGTGCATTGGGGCATGGACCAGAGAAGCAAGAGATGAAAGGTAAGGCTAGAGAAATAAAGATTGTGAAAGATCATGTATGCTCTGCTAAAATCTGCTTTTATTTTCTGAACATATTGGGGGACCATAATTCTGTCATCAGTGCAGAAGTCAAAGACAGGGAGACAATTTTCAAAGCTAACGCACTAGTTCATGAGAAATGTATGTGATCTGAACTGCAAGATGGCTGTGGAACAATTCCAGGATATGAAGGATATAATAGGAAATAGAATTGCCAGCAGTTGGGTGTTAGCAAGAGGCCATGATGAAACTTGACCCAGGTTTATAGAGCTTAAATATGTAAACTATTAGCATTACCCCACATCCTAAAATGTGTCATTTCTAATGATTCCCTTGACCATCAACATTTTGCAAATTCAGCACTAGTATGCTATGACTCTCAGAATTACCAATGAGGAAAGAAACTCAGAAAAGTAAAATAACTTGCTTGATACCACGCAGTTAATATGTGGCAGAGCTGAGATTCAAACCCAGGGATATATACCATATAAGTCATCATCTGTAAATGACCCTTATAATAGCACATACCTCATAGGGCTGTTGTGAAAACTTAATGAGATTATGTTTATAAAGCACTGAACCCAGTGTCTGGCTAAATGCTAGCTATTAATCTCATTATACCACATCTTAGTATAGAAATATTAGGGTTATACAAGGGAGGTGGGCATGAGGATGGGAAATGGGAGAACCGTGGGAAAGTGATGGACTCTGAAGCAGGGGGTCTTGGCAGCTGCAGGAAGAGAGCACAAAGAGGCTAGAGAAGGAACCTGAAGGTTTGGGATAGTCTTTTAGTGGGAAAAGAGAAGAGAGGTCTAAGAATCTAATACTTTGGTTTGCCTATTAAAAATATAATGGCTTGCCCTAGCCAGTTTGGCTCAGTGGATAGAGCCTCGGCCTGCTGACTGAAGGGTCCCGGGTTCGATTCTGGTCAAGGGCACATGCCCAGGTTGTGGGTGCAATCCCCAGTAGAGGGCGTGCAGGAGGCAGCCAATCAATGATTCTTCTTCATTATTGATGTTTCTTTCTCTCTCCCTCCTTTCCTCTCTGAAATCAATAAAAACATATTAAAAAATATATATGATGGCTCAATAATCATCTTTCAAAAAATGAAACAAACAAGCCAATACCTACTATGCAGTTATTTGAGTACTACAATGATATTTTGGAGTATTTAAATCACATCATTGCCATATAAAGAATAAGTCATCTGTTGAAGAAGAATACTATTAATCTAAAGCCCACCATCAATTAATATTTTCAAATAAATCTTATTCTTATCAGATATCTGAGGAATAAAAAGCTCTCTTTCATCTTTTCATTTTCTCAAAAAATACTACATACTCTCTAGAGCAGTGGTTCTCAACCTTAAAATTATTTTCGTTGCTACTTCATAACTGTAATTTTGCTACTGTTATGAATTGTAATGTAAGTATCTGATATGCTACATGTGTTTTCCGATGTTCGCGACCTACAGGTTGAGAACCACTGCTCTAGAGAAATATGTTGTGTTAGGGCAATAGGATATAAACCAAGCAGACATACAAATGATTTTCAAATAAGAGCAAAATTTAATTTTAAAAAAGTTACTTATAAAATGAAAAAACCTACGCAGGTTAAAAGGTTATTGGCAAACTAACATACACAATTTTAGGCTATAATTTCTAGGAAGATTGCAATGAAATAGATTTCTGCTAAACAATGCATCATTAAATAATAGTTTCAAATTAAATTGATTTATAATCTATAACTATTTGAAATAATTGTTATATTTTTCTGTAATTAGTGATATTAATTAGTGATCACTAAGGTATGGCTAATTGATATAGTTTTCAGTCTTTTTCCAAAGTAAAAAAAATACCATGAGGAAATAAGAGATGTAGTAACACTCATCATGGATTAATTCATCTCCAGAACTTTCAATATTTTTATTTTTGCCCTCAATTTGTTTGACAAGGTAAGGTTTATGAAGGAAAGCAATCTATACATCATCTTCAAGTTAGCTTATTACTAAATTAGCTATTTTAAATTAGTTTTAGAAATTAATTGATTACTAATAGATTATATATATATATATTAGGAAAAGCCTAAATAATTTCATAATTACAAAAAAATTAAGCTTATAATTTTTACATGTGGATTTCAACATAATATGCTCGTCTGACCATTATAAGTGAAGAGTTTGAATAGTCTATAAACCAGCCACAAAACTAAACTAAAAAAGGGGGGGTGCATTTTAGCATGGACTTTGATAATGAAAGTATTAAATTTAATTAGATCTCAAAACAGGAATAGTTTAGTTTTGAAAATCATTATCTTTCTTGAATGAGGCATTAATGTGTTTTTTAATATCAAAAGTCTATTGATTTCTCAGTTTATATTATTTATTCTTAAGTTGATGCAATACAAGTTTACTAGTATTGTTACCAAGCAATAGAGTCTATTTCCTTTCAAAGGTTCAATTAAATGTTTGCTTTTAGCTTACTGTATGTGAGATATCTTTTGCAATTATGCATAGCCATTTCCTCTTGGAATTTAATTATTTGTTTGCAAACTTAAAAACAATTAAAATCAGAAATATCTGTTACTAACTAAAATTAAATTTCACATTTGTATTCTATATATTTGTTGCACACAAAAATCTTTGATTAATTTTTAAATAAAAATTAAATCACATGATTTATACATAAAATTAAAATATTAATATGAAAACAGTGAGTCAGGTCAATATTTTACAGTAAAACATAATTAGAAAATAAGTTTTCTAATTTCTCACTCCACTAACTCATTCATTTAGAGGAATTTTGATACACATTGAGTGATAATTTACTTTTTTTTTTTTAAAGAAACTGTTGTCATGGAAGGCAAACAATTTATTGGCTTCCTTTCATATTTCCGACCCCTTAAATCACTATTCAGGATCAAGTTTTTGTGGAATGAACAAAGGCAATTTAACATTCACTAGATGCAAGTACTAAGTATAGATAGATCAGAAACAATTAAAGTTCTTTATTAACTACTTTCCAAAATTATTTAAATATTAACATCTACCTAAGTTCCTCATCCAGCTCCGGAGTTCCAGCGTTCATTGCAATTGCAGAAGGAGATAGTGTGTCCTACTGGGGCACCCGTACGGAAAGCCGTCCATCTGCCTTGGGATTGGCTGTTGCCGTGGTTACCGTTTGTTTGGCTTCTCCGGGCGCTGTCTTCCAACTAGGTGGAGGGAGTTAGCTGCTGGTGGGTGAGCTAGGTCACTCAGGCCGGGGCCGCCCAAAGGCGGCCTCCCCCCGCAAGGCCGGACCCCCCGAAGGCCGGGGCCCCCCAGGGTCGGGGTCCTGGGTGGGAAGGAGGTCGCGCGGTGGGAGCGCAGACGAGCCAGAGCCTCCCGGCCAAGACCCGGCTTTAGGGCGCGAGCGGGAGGGGCCGCGGGCTGCTGGGTGGCTGCGCGAGGCTCGGGAGCTCCAGGCTCCCGTCATTTTGGGGGATTTTGGTAGCTTTAGTCAGACTTGATCTACTCGGACTAACCGTCCCTAAATGACGGTGCCCTCCCTCCCTCTCTATTCGTTCTTTCTCGTATTTTATTTTTTCATATATAATTTTGGTTACTCTTTAAAAGTAGATTTTGCTCCCCTTTTATTATAGTTGAACTGTGGTTGAAAGGTGGAGTGACTTCAGATTCACCACTTTTAGCGGCTTTAGCCAATTCTAAGTGATTCATTATAAACTTGAAATGTTTGCTGTGGCCCTTGTACTTCGGAATGAATCTAGGGCTGCGCTCACCTGCCCGGTAACCACCAGCTAAAGGAAGCGATTGAGGGTTTGAAAGGCAGCCAGTCTGAGTTGAAACGTGCTGTAAAATGCACATCAGATGTTGACTAATTAGTTTGCAAACAAGAATGCAACCTTTTTATGTTGATCTTCATAACAGTTTTTAATTGATTACATATTGAAATAATATTTTGGATAAAATAAGTTAATAAAATAGATTATTGAAGTTAATTTCACCTGTTTCTCTTTATTTTTTAAAACATTGCTACTGACTAGAAAATTTAAGATTACAAATGTGCTCGAACATGTAATTGGACAGGGCTGATCCAAAGATCAGTGGACGAGCAGAGGGACATATAGTGGAAGTGACTCTTACCTTTACCCTAGTCTCCTGCCTTTCTTTCTACATAAAGTTGTGTATGCCTGTGTATTCTGCTTTATAGCACATTTAAAAAAAAGTTTCACCTAACCTTTAAATTGCACTTTAAGTTGGTTTGATTACAGAATCACATTTTGCGCCGGTGGTGTTGTTTTGTTTTCCATTAGGTGAGAAAGGTTGTGGATAAAATTGAGTATTTTTAAACTAGTTTTTAAAATTATGAAAGCAGTGCATATTTATTATTTTAAAAATCATTCAGCATAAAGGTATGAAATTAAAATTAAAAGTTCCTCAATGCCTTCCAGCAAGTTTCTGTCTAAAACTAAAGAGTGTGTGTGGTTACATAAAAGTGATATTACTCTGCATATCTTTCTGATACCTGCCGTTTCTTAATTATTTCTCTTTGGCTATATTTCCTGAGGAGTACAGTAAGTGTGCTAATTTTTATTGAAGAACTTGTATATTATTCTATTCTGTGGCTGCATTATAATTTATTTAACTGTTTTCCTAATGAGTACTTAAGATATCTTTACATTTTAGTGGTGTAATTGTAGATTCACATGCAGTCTTAAAAAATAATACTGAACTATCCCTCAAAACTCTGTCCAGTGTCTTCCAATGATAATATTTTGTAAACTATATTATAATATCATGACCAAGATATTTATATTGATACAGTCTGCTTTACTTGTACTTATTTGTGTGTGTATGTCCTATATAATTTTTATTATCTGAATATACTCACTTAATCTATTACCACAATCAAGATACTGAACAGTTCCAACACTATAAGGATCTCTCATGTTGGCCTTTTATCATAACCATCTTCCAACCCAATCAACTCCCAACTCTTATCAACCATTTATAAGTTCTCCATTTATAAAATTGTTGCATGTAAAAATGTTATAGTAATGCAGTCCTAAAGGATCGCATGCTTTGGTTTCTCAGCATAATTCCATGTAGAATCCACACAAAAAAGTTGATTTTGAGATGGATGAGTAAAATAAGGAAAAGAAAGAAGAAGGGAGGGGAGAGAGAGAAGGGAAGGAGGGGGGGAGGGAGGGAGGCAAATCCAAGAAGACAGAGTTCAGAGGTTGAAAGGTCAGGGACTTGAGGAAAGAATGAAAGTTTGGAATAGTCTCTAAAATAAAATAATAGCTGACTAGTATAGTCATTTTCAAAATTATTTTTACAAAGACCTACAATAAAACAAACAACAAAAAGTAGGTTACATTGTAATTCAAGCACACATACTTACCTTAGAAACATGTTTGTTTTTTAAACAATTTTTATCTTTAGCATATATAGTGCACTTATAGTTTCTTTTCTGGCCTATTCTAACATTTTCTATCCTATCATTAAAATTTGATAATCAAGAGCCACTAAATTAGTTTTTTGATCTGCTAACGGGTTATGATAAGCAATTTGAAGATTATTAGATGAGGAGATGTTCAGAAGGATTGCTGGGCAGATGAATAGCTTGACTGTCTTGGGGACCATTTGGTAATGAAGAACATAGGGTTTGAATTCAGGATGTCTGAATTATGATCCTGCCCCCATTCTTAATGTAATGGCTATCGACAGTTAAGTAACTTCTTCAAACCTGAGTGTTCTCATCTATACAATGACTCTAATGATCTTTAACCTTTTAAGTTACTCTGAAGATTATCCATTATACAGATGTCTTCTAGTGCCTGCCTTGTCACAGCTACTTAATACTTGGAAGCTAATGATAGTGATTATGATGATGACATGAAGATATAGTGAAATACGCTGATTAATGCATATCTATTACAAGTATTAAATATTTAAATGGCCCATCCGGCATGGTTCAGTGGTTGAGCATTGACCTATGAACCAGGAGATCATGGTTTGATTCCAGGTCAGGGCACATGCTCGATCCCCAGTCAGGAGCATGCAGGAGGCAGCCAAGTAATGGTTCCCTCTCATCATTGATTTTTCTCTCTCTTTCTCCCTCTCCCTTCCTCTCTGAAATAAAAAATATATATATAAATATTTAAATGAAATAAATTTTGATTTTACATGCCATAATTATCCATATTACATGTTATTGTTGCAAAACATGGCTTTCTCTGGTAAAATTAACAACTCTGAGTTAATGAGTAGAAACTAGCCTTATGTTTCCCCCATACATAGACTTAGGTTGTTCTCTTGTGAGTATTTTAATCTCTGAATATTCAAGCTGATCATATGTGTTTTTCCATTAATCATTTCTATTAGGATGAGTTTTTCTGTCAAGTTTCTTGGTTCAGGAAGGCAAGCCAGCTCATTCCATGTAACTTTTCCCTTGGAGAATTAAAAGTCTAGTAATAGACCTGACCATTTTATAGTCAAACATTGTTCTTAAAAATATGGTACAGATATGATAAGGTGTGATAAACATTTGTTAAACTAAAATGTGTATATAGAACCATGTTGGATTATTATGACATATTAAAGAACCCATAATTTTTATTAGCATATTAGCCTCTTTAATTTTCTTTAATTAGTTCTGTGATTTATTGTGAAGGATGATGGAAGAGGATGATGATGCAAAGCTCAACGAAGAAATAGAAGCTGAATTGGACAAAATCAGCATTTCTTCTTTGGAAAAAGATGATGTAGATAGTGATTCAAACTCAGAAACCCAGAGTGATGAGAGTGATGCTGTAAGTATTAAGTTTTGGACTTTTGAGCCCTTTAATTGGAGTAAACTTTTCAGGAGATATTTTACTTTCTCAATGTGTTTTGTGTGTTTATCTCATATTTAACCTTAGGATCTTCTTTAAACAGTGTAAATTGATATTTAAATATAAAAGTTTGTTGAAGATAGAAATCACCTTATAAACCACATTCTATATGTGCATTTTTTGGGGTAAAATTGGGGTTATACCATGTTATGTATATATATATTTGTATCCTGCTTTTTAACGTTAATCATGAACATTCTAATATGAATATATATGGATGGAAGCAAACTTTATGTGAAAACTTTAGATCTATAGAGGTAATTATTTTTTTAATCAAATGTTATCTTTTCACTTGTGCATTTCTCCCAATGTTTATATGCTTAAAAAATCTGTTTATGATTCTTTTTTTACATCAAAACTTTTAATCCAATGGAAATTTGTTATAAAATGAAGATCTGATTTGAAATTTTCTTGAACATACTTAGCTAATGTTCCTAGTGTCACTTGTTGAATAATTCAACTTTTCTCAATTGATTTAATATCTTTTTATACATTTAGTGTTTTACATATGATCTATCCAAGATTACCTAATATTTCCCATTACTCTGTTAATTTTTGCTGTATTATAGTTTATATTTTTCAATTTCAAAAAGAGTCCAATTTTGTTTTGCTATTTCAGAATCTTCTCAACTAAGTTTTTTTTTTAAAAAACCCACAAAACTCACTTGCCAAGTTTCAAAAAATAACTATATTCTGAGTTTTCATTAGGATTTCAATAACCTACATATAATATTTGAGAAAATTTAATATTTTTATATTACTGTCTTTTTAGCCATAGCTAATTTTAATGAAACAAAATATCCTGATATTATTCATGTGATTATGAAATTCAACAGAATCATAGATATAATTCATAAAACCTGAAAATGAAAAGCAAATTTTCACCATATATATTTGTTTGAAATATGCCTTTTTTTGCAGTGTTTTTTTTATTATTATTAAAACACTAGAGGCCCGGTGCACAAAAATTTGTGCACTCATGAGGGGGGGTCCGTCAGCCCGGCCTGTGCCCTCTTGCAGTCTGGGAACCCTCGGGGGATATCGACCTGCTGGCTTAGGCCCGCTCCCCGGGGGAGCGGGCCTAAGCTGGCAGTCAGACATCCCTCTGGCAGTGCAGGAGCCCTCAGGGCATGTCTACTTGCCAGTGGAGAGTAGGCCTAAGCTGCAGTAAGACATTCTTGGTACAGCTGAGGAGGCGGGAGAGGCTCCTGCCACCACCGCTGTGCTGGCAGCCGTCAGCCTGGCTTGTGGCTGAGCAGAGCTTCCTCCTTGTGGAGCGCACTGACCACCAGGGGGCAGC